CCGGAGCGGCAGGAAATCCTTTGCGGGCCGCTCCGCCGGGTTTCCGCGCACACCGAGCTGCCCGGGGACACGGGCGCAACCCTCACCTGGCTGCCTTCCGCCAGGCAGCGCGGTATCAAGCTTAAGCGACGCGTTTCCAGACCCCTGCCTGCCTCGACACTGTACCCACACGGATTTCTTTTTCATTCTCTACACCACTCCCGGCTATACCTTCCCAGCAGAGAAAAAAACCACTGAGCCCAAGCCTGCTGCCAGGGCGCTGCATTCTCCCTCAGCCTGCAATCTTAAAGCACGCTCTCCGCGATATCAAGGTATTCTCCTCTCGATTAGCCATTACCATTTTAAAGTTCATTAAGCAGAATATAAAAGGTTTCAAGGTTCAGAAGCTCTTTACATTAAATATAGCTGCTATCCCTTTAAAAACTTCCTTTTCTGGTACAGTTCATTGTCGAGGTATTTTTTCCCCGAGCTGCATACTAGCTTTGCCTTTTAAAAAGCCCACATAAAAAATCAGACTTTGACAGATTGAATAACAATTGTAAGTAACAAACTGTTGGACAGAAGGCAACACGTAATTGCCACAGTGCCTTAGTAAAATGGCTTCCTTTAGACAAAAAGGCCAGCTTTAGGTTAATTTGTTTCTTTTAATATATTGCTACAGTTCAGGCGGCTACTTTATCTGTTAAACACTATTCTAGTGCAACCGTTAAACTGGCGATGGCTTTGAATTCAGCTCCTAACTAGACTTCTGGTGCAACACATGGCTTTTATAAAATCACTGGATTACACTGATATCAAAGGAGTCAGGATCTCCCTTTTTTTACTGAATTTACAGGCACCAAACGTACGTTATTATATTTTTGAGAGCTGACCACAGAGCTCTTTTTTTTATTATTATTAAAAAAAAAAAGAGGAAGGAGAAAGAAATTTTTTTTAAGGCATCCATTGCCCGGTGGGTATTTCACGGCCAATTTCAGCACTAAACACGTGATCTCGCCTTTTATAACAAAGTTTTGTTGGGGGAAATCTAAAGGCCCTTCATAAACCTTATATGCTTATAAAACAGCATATAAAAATTTAACAGCGGTGGTGCGCTAGATTTCAACCTCCCTTTCATAAAGCGCTCGGGCGCTGCCTTTATACGTACTGGAGCTGCCGGATTTCTCCTCATTGTTGCCGGAAGATGACTCGGGGCTGCTGCTTTTTTTCTCCGAACTTGAAGTTGCCGCCGTCGCCCCGGCGGCCGCGGGCGCCTTCTCGCCACTCTTGTCTACCGCATAGTCCGCCGCGGCCAGGTTTTCCGTGGTGCCATAAGCCGTCTCGAAAAACTGGTCGAAAGCCTGGGGCAGGACCCCGTTCCTGCCCACCGTGCTATAGAAATTGGAGGAGACGTTGGTGCTGGGGTGGTAGACGTTAGCTGTGTTTTTGCCGAACATCTCGCCCATGCTAGCAGTGTTGGTGGAAGGCAAGCAGTCTCTGTGCATGATCTCCTCTGCGGAGTAGCAGTGGGGCAGATTGTTCCTGGGGTGCCATTTACTGGAGGGATCAATGGCATATTCCCTGAAGGTAACTTCTCTCACAGGTTGGACCTGGGGTAGGTTGGAAGAGTAGGAGTATGTCATAGGGCGAGAAGACGGGGTCTGGGGCAAAAAAGAAGGGAGGCTGGAAAAATCAGGACCCGAGACGTAGTAAGTACAACTTGGCAAATACATGTTAGAGGAACAAGGAACACGCTCATCAAAATCCATCATTAGGGCTACCTCGGGCTCTCCGCATTAGCTGAGCTTAACATGATTCTCTAATGCAGCTGCCTCTTTGAAGCAGATCCGTGAAGTAAGAAATTTGGAGACGTAAGCTGACGTGGAAAGCTATCCCCATCCTTAGCAGGGAGGTGCTGGCCACGTGACGCCGCGCTGCAGTTGACAAGCTGCGCGCACGGGCCCTTCGCTCTTTGTAGCCATCTCAGGGGAAGCAACAGATCGTCACTTCGCTAGTCTCCCCAAAAAGCACGCAGTCTCAAACGCCCCTCAGGTTTGCCTTGGGTACCCTTAGAGGACAAAAAGGCGCATGCCACTTCCCCATACTTGGCCGCCCGGCCAGTTGCACCCAGGCGCTCTGGAGTAGAAAGAATTAGAAATTCCCACAGTGTTAGGTGAGACCTTTTCGCTTGTTTGTTTGCTTGCTTGTGTGTTTGTTTGCTCGCTGGCATACTCGAAAAGGAGAAAGATAGGGGAAATCAGGTAAAGATTTATTCTAGAAAGCCGCTTCTGAGCAGGAAATGCTCCTTAAGAAATCGGTCGGTTTTTTTTTTATTTTTTTCTTTTTCTGTTGTTTTTTATTTTCCAATTTACTCTGGTTTGCCTTTTTTTTTTTCCTGGGTTTAAAAAAAAAAAAAAAAAGCCTCTCTCCCTGCAGGGTTTTTCTGGAAACGTTATTAGGAAGAATGTGCCAGGGTCAAGTCTGTACTGATTTTCATGGTGAATAGATTACATGCTTGCATTCATGTTCACTTCCGAAGCGCTTAGTGTCTTCCTTCCCTTACTTACATATTAACCTCAAATACCCTGCGCGGCTTCATCCAAGCTTTGCTAGAGGTAGTTAACAATATTTGATTCCCAGAACGCAGGTTCTCATTCTTCATCCCCTCCAAACCGTTGCTTGCTTTATTTGCAATGCCAGAAAGTCCTTTAAATTGCAGACCACTGAGCAAAAAGTGTTTGCTGATCTCCTCGCCTCAACAGTGCTGCTAAATACTTGGGAAACCAGTGGATGTTGGGCTATCCCGCTTTGACAAATATTCTAAGTTTAATTGCCAGAAGCCTAGTTAAAATTATTTGACATACTATTAACCCCTAGGAACAAACTTGCAGTACCGAGATACTTTCCTTTTTGCTTCATACCCTCGCTGAAGGCTGAGACCCGGGGAGACCTATTTAAAAAACGTGGTTAAACTTTTACTATTGTTGCTTGAAAGGGATGATATAGAAAGCGGATTGTACAGGGCAGAGACTAAAAAGTACTTCTCTGCCAATAAAAATGCACACCCCACCGAATGTGCAGAGCCAAAGAAAACAGAGAAATACGCCAAAGAATACAGCACCTTTAGAGGCAAGGACATCCCTAGGCTGTTGGAAAAAATATTTTTTTGCTATTCTGATGCTCGATTTCAAAAAAGAAATATTTGGGTTCCGGCTGGATTTAATCAAAATAGAAAAACAGGACTGCAAACAACTATTATGAAGTTAGTGATCTTATGAAATTAGACATATTTCAAGACCCATGCCTCTGTGGACTTCGGAGACTAATGGGAGGGAAACTAAAATGTTAAGGAAACAATATTTGGATTTCGCCCCCCCTCCCGTTCTTCTGCGGTGCTGTAGAAGTATTTATATGTCCGGAGAAAGTTCTATAGTAAATTCTGGAGAACTTCGGTATTTAAATGTCAACATCGATTTGTTTATTTATTGCTTAGCTTATCGTAACTGACTCAATAACAAATCTAATCATGTTGTGCACA